TCTATAATTTTATTTTATAAATAGAAACCTATTTTCTTTTGAGTAGATTTAAAAAAAAATTCTTGATTTAGTACATTCTAACCTCCTGTAGGGTCTTCATCTCTACCTCCTTTGCTCTTCTCCCTGCTAACCAGACTGTTTATTTAAAAGAATGTATTTATAAGTATCTGCCACCTTCTGCTCTTTTCTGGGGCAAATCTCCTGAACCTGGTTATTTGGTTGTGCTCAGACCCATTCTTCTCTCATTGCACTTTGCAGGATGCACAGCAAACCACAGAGACCAACAAGCAGTACTTGCATTGTCCTGAATGCTTTGCCTGGATTTTGCCTGACCAAAGAAGTACCTGCCTGCTACAAAGCAAGCCAATAATGCTGCAGTCACATTGCAGAGCACTGATAAAACCATGTAGGTCTTCTCACTGCAAAATCTGCTTACCTCGAAGCCTCCATAACCTCTGAAAATTTCTGCAAACTCATTATAACATATGAAAGACAGAAATGCAAACAAAGGGCATATGTGCTTCCTGAGAAGTCACGTAATGATCTGTTAGCAAGAACAGGTTATCGGATACATGGCAAGAGTACTGCAGAGTTTTAAAATATAATGTAGTTTGGTGTACAGCAGCAGAAAGAACCTAACTGATTATACAAAGTAATGAATAAAATTAAATTACAGAAAAGTAACTCAGCAATATGCAAGCTATGACCTTATCCTGAAGAAAATTACCAATATACCGAGGATTTGGTGAAAGGAAAGAACCAGAAACGTGAATCTGGTTCAGTCTGAACATCATGCTAGGACTTGGGGAAAAAACGAAAAACAAAACAATTATGCCAGCACTGGGAGAATCTAGCTAAGCATCAAAAGCTTCTCTGAATCCTGTTTCTCTGTATAACACAGGAACAATGACAGAACTCAGTGGAACTCAGAATATTATTTATAAAGTGGAAATTAGAAACAGCAGTGGGGAAGCGAAAAAGGAAGTAGTCAAGCAAAAAGTTACTTCCTTTTGTCCTCATATGAATTTATTTTCATGATTGATTTTAGCCCATTTTAACTTCTGACAGATCTGTTCATCAAGAATGACTGAAAATATTTATGTTCTTAATATTTTGGTCAAAGCAAAACTGGTCATTTCGTAAAGCTATTGCCACTAAAATATTACAGAAAGACGAGTGCTTGCATTCACAGGAAGCATGGCCTCCTCCATTTGGACCCAGATGGGAAGGATGCAATTTTTTAATATGAATGATGCAATTTTTAAGGATTATAACTGCAACAGAGAAGTTTACATTGATGAATAAGAAAATCTGATGGAGAACTTTTAAAACACAGTCAAGCTTACTGGCTTAATCTTACTGGTGCCTCTAAAAATTCTTACTCTTGTTTCAGCTTCAAATATTGTGAAAAACATGTACAACTGCTAGCTGGAAAACTTCCGACTGATTCTCACTGTAGCTGTCCTGGCCAGAAATTTTAACTGACTTAACTCCAGTAAAAGGAAGAGAAGGACACCAGTTGGCTGAACTGATGTACATCAAAACAAAGCTAAAGTAAATTCTGTTAATAGGTCCTAGCTGCCTTATATGTTCTCTAAAAACACAGTTCTAGAGCTAGTGTTGTTTTTCTGATTCAAACTACGACATTATGAATAAAATTGTATTATTCAAATCCATTCAGCATAGCAGGAAAAGTTTTGATCACAGCTTTGGTGGAATATGCTAAATCATTACTTATTAATTAAAGTTTCTCTGCAGTACTTTTACAGAAATAAGGAATGCCATATTCTTTAAATGTAAAATGTTTATAGGTATGCTTTTATTTACAATATCATACATGATTGGATCTTTATTACATTAATTACAATGTAGCTGACTTACCTTTTAAGATCAGACATTTAATCAGAAATCTTTAAGATTTGACTTTATAGTTACCTACTTTTCTCAGAATATATTCACATACACAAATTTCGTTTAACTCACTATACTGAACTCAGGTTTTTACGCTGAGTAAAATATAGCTGTGCTACCATCATATTTACAGATCAGAAATTGCTAAGAATCAAGAAAAATCAGTATGATGAAAAGAATGTCTACTATCTACAGATTCTGAGGCATTTTCAGAGATGCATCATCCTAGATGCCTATCACAAATAAGTCAGTCAATAAGCCAGATTCTTGTTCCAATTATGCAATTTTAAAAGCAAAAAAAACCAAACCCAAAACATAACTGGTAAGCAGAATTCATTATGTGTCACTGCATTTTCCCAGAGAATTATGCTCAAAATTAAAATAGCATTTTGTTTCCATTTCCAAATTACAAATACCTTTTAGGATGACTTTCAAAGAATGGTCATGCTTAAGTACCTCTTTGTATTTATTTGCTAATTTTTCGAGATCAGCTATTAAAGTAAATGAAAGCATGCACTCAGAGGTTGATTAAACCTGAACAAGTTGCAAACCTTTGCATAATTTGTAATAAGTTGTGCATAATGAAGCTGAACTCTGTTAATTTGGCATAGTTTTTGAGAGTAACTCTATTGTATATAATATAACTAATATCATGTGAAATACACACAAGCAATGATGGAAAAATTATTCATCCCAAATATGTCTGGATGCCATAGGTAACATTTCTTGCTTTTTTAAAACATAAATTGCTACTAAATACATTTGCTCTCTCTGCACTATATAGACCTC